CGATTCAGAAAGAAGTTAAAGCATCTTACATTTATGAACAAAGGGAGTACTTCATTAATTTACATGTCATAGTTATAGCACAGCGACGTCCAGATGACACAGCCGTGATGTGTGTTAGAAATTTAGGGTTCTTTGCTTTTCTGAGGTGTCGCTTACAATTCATATATCTGAGACTAGTGGATGAGACTTTTTTATATTGTTTTTTCAAAGAGTTCACCTTTAATACAGATAAAATTCCTAGTTTATTCAATTGGCTTCTGAGATAGAGTCCAAATTAAATTACTAACCATGGTTAAATTTGTTTGTTAATGGATTTTACCCGTTGTGCTCCTCAGAACACGGATTTGTGAGCAGTGCACCATGATCAGGTATAAATTCCATCAATCATGCACGTCGTTATTAGGGTTGTAACTTAGTTCCTCCCAATTATCAATGTATCTGAGTAGTCTTTCTAGTACAAATACAAAGTATACTGTATCATTGATAATGACCGGTTTTGTTAAGCTCCCTTCGTTCCGTTATATAAGGTACTTGTTTTAAAGAAAATTTCATAATGTAAGGTGCATTTTTTTCTAATTTTTCATAATTTTATTTTTAGCCTTTCGGAAAAAAATAGTATCTCTCTCCCGATTGTCTTTATCTCCTTGTAATTTGCCAAGGTGCATTTCTTCTAATTTCTCATAGTTCTCTTTTTAGCTCACAAAAAAAGGAAAGTATCTCTTCCTCAATTGTCTTTATCTCTTCCTGTAGCAAAAGAAAAAAAGTATCTTTCTCGGTTGCATGTGTCTCTTACTTTTCTGAACTAACTGATTTACTTGTCACTAACCAACAAATTTATCAAAAGTAATTATGTCCCGACCTCTCTATAATTATGCGCCTTGGTCACCACGTAAAAAATAATACATTTTACACAAAGAAACAGGGCGAGTAATATGCAGGTACATTACAGCAAATAATAATTTCATGATAAACATGTAAAGTAATTTCATGTACAAATGCATGTATAATTCTATAATGAGGTCTTCCCAATATTAATAATTTCAAATTTGAATATGGTTGCAGAACACATAATTACGACAATGTCTTCTTCGCTGATGCAGATACAAAGCACAAGGGAAAGGGCGGAGTGGGGAGGGCTCTTCGAACGGAACGTCGGAGTCTAACATGGGAAAAGTACGGACTCCCCAAACCTTCCCGTCTTGTGTCATATAACAAAATATGTAAAATGCCCAATGCACAGGGTTAGTCCGCACGAAGCATTGTCATCAATCACTAAAACGATTAGAGAAATATACCTTAACACGATGTCTGGCCACAGGTGCGTGAGCTTTGGTGCGGATCTTCATGTAGCTTCACGCATCTGTTACAGTGTGGGTTGAGTTGATGATCGTCGATGGCAAAGTCAGAGTCATTTGCTCAGAGTTAGAGATGTCAACGACGCCTCTAAGAGAGGAGTGAAGAAGATGACATATGCGCGCTGTCTAGACGAGGCCCTCTTTAAAATGGTGTGTGTGGAATTTTTTTACGTGTGCCGCTGAGTGGTCACGTATGGTTTTTACCCAATATTCCGTATATTAACTTGGCAATTCTTTTCTTCAACCTAGCTGGCTCTCTCTAGGACTACAAGTACATCCTCCTCCTCTTACTAGCAATCAAGATTGAGTCGGTCTTCAAAAAAAAAGGTCTTCAAAAAAAAAGCAATCAAGATTGAGTCGATTGCAAACCAAGCCCAAGCACCGATTTCAAATCTCTCTCATCGCATTTGGCAGTCACCTAAGACGCGACCAAAAATCGGATCTTCACACAACTCGATGACGAATCAGGAGAAAATCAACTCCGACATCAGAGGCCGAGGAGGAGCAAGGATGCATAAACGGCGACAGTCTTTCAGGGGCACGACAACGAGCAGCCAAGCACAAAGCTACAGAAGCACCTCTACCTGGTGCTGGACGACTGGGACAAGGGCTTCACCATCCGCAAGATCGACGCCGACAGCCCCGACGACCTCGTCCTCACCGACGAGCCCCCCGTCCTCCGCCTCCTCTCTCCCGGACGCATCCACTGCATGTCCTTCGCCGCCATGGGCAGCAGCCGCATAATCGCGGCGAGCAACGAGCACCCCGCCACCCTCGTCTACGACACGGAGGCCGCCGGGCTGACCACCGGCCCTCCCGTCCCGGCCGCGCTCCAGGACGGCTGCGCCATCTTCCTGCCCGCCGCCGACGGCACGCTGTACACTGTATGCATTCGCCTACTACTTCATGCGGCGGCCTCAGGCCGTCGAGTTGCTGTCCTTCATCGCCAAGGACCTGTGCTCCCAGGTGCCGACCGTGGACTGGTCCTGGAGAAGCGTCGTGCCCTCGCCGTTCGCCCGGAAGGAGAGGGTCTGCTCCTGCGCCGCGCACCCGGACGGACGCACCGTCTTCATGTCGGCCCTCACCACCACCAGCCTCGCCGACCGGCACTTCCGCACCTTGTCCTTCTACGCCGGCAGCCGTGAGTGGACGTGCCATGGGGAGTGGGGGCTGCCGTTCATGGACAACGGCTACTTCGACGGTTACCTGGATGCTTGGGTTGGCCTTGACGAGGATGGCTACGTCAGCGCTTGCCAGGTCGCTGACCCTACTCCTGCCAGTGGCTTGAAGATGCAGCAGCACGACCGGAAGATCGCCAAGGACAAGCTCTGGAGCAGGGAGCGGCGGGCAGCTCAGCGGCCTACGCTCACTTGTATGGGCCATGGCAGGTTTTGCCTTGTCGACTGTGTGGTACGCCAGGGAATGAAGTCTGGTTACCCTGATGGCTGCATGCTCAACATCACCACATTTCGCCTCCGATACTCTCGCAAGGGAGAGCTGCGGATCGCTGATCACGCCACCAGGTCCTGTCAAATGACCAAGAATGTCCGCGCATTTTCTCCTGTGGCGTTCTGGATGTAACTCGCTGTCTTCCTGCTTGGTAGGAGTATGTCATAAGCATAAATTAGGTTTAGAAACATTTACTACTTTATTTTGCACTAGAGCATAGAGCTGGAACAATGTTTGGTGAAACAATCTAGTCTCTAACAGAAGGACCAAATCAAAGAGTTCAGACATTTACCTGAAAGAGCTCCAGTTCCATAATATCCAAATAATGGTTTGTGTAAACGGTGCAACTATCCTTGCTCTTAACATTGCTTGCTGTTTGAGATGGTAACCTTATTTGCCTGTGGAAATCCCAACCATGGTTACTCTTCGTACCACTTGCGTAAACTGCCTGAAGTCGAGGCAAAAGGAGTGGTTTCTGTATTACCCTGGCAACTGACCAAGTGGGAAGGAAGACTGGGCCAAAGAAAAAGATTGTTGCAACGAAACAGAATGCAGACAATATCAAAATTTGCCAGCATCGACGGAGGCACTGCTACTATTAGTGTGGACCAGGAACTGTTGCGGATACATTGTCTAGTTAAACAGCCAGGATTAACACAATCCACTGCGATTCATAGACAACTCGTCAATTTATACCACAGTGCGTAACACGCTGTTTGGTGCGCAACCAGATATGAAATGCTCCCTTCATTCACAAATATAAGATGTCTTGGATATTACAATATGGACTACATACGGACTGAAATGAGTGAACAAATACATTAAAACGTGTCTATATATATCCAATTCAGAAAAAGTTAGAACATCTTATATTTGTGAACGGAGGGAGTAGTTATTTTGAAAGATGATAGCTAAAACTGTACCATATAGAAAATCCATTTTGGTACACATGGAGTAGCCTCCGATCATAACTGATAGCTACTGAGGAAGCTGTCTGGAGTAAATAATTATAAATGCAAAGTTCCGTTGCAACAAAAAAAAGTATTCTATATAAAGTTCCATTGCAATGAAAGAAAGTCTAAATGATAAAGCACATAGGATGTCGATTTTAGGATGTGCAAAGCAACATTTTGGCCAAACAGCTTAAGCTACACAAGTAGTTAAGCATGTGGCCAAACTCCAATACACACCATCCAACATGCGTTTTTCTTAGATAATGATCACAGCATGTGTAGCGACATATAAATATCAACGAAGCAACATTATTTTTTAAAACAATGACCTAAACCCACATCCGTTTAAATACGCAGGTGTTACTCCCTGTTACAGGTGTTAACTAAACACAACCACCCTGCAGGAGTACAGCAGCTTTATGTAGAGATGGCAAAAAATAATAATAGATTGCAGCCAATGTACAACAGCTTACACCTAAATGAAATGAGATATTCTAGAGTACATCATGCTTGCTGGTCCTCAACCAGGAGTACGCCCTTGCTTACACCAAAAATGAGATATTCTTACAGCACAAATAAATTTGGTAAAGCAAAAACAACTCATCACTGATAGAACTTGCCCGTGGGATGTACAGAAGATATAAAAGAAAACAATACAGAAGCTTTACCAGATGGAGATACCCAGTGGCCAATACAATGTTGATGTGCCGTTATTTGACAGCATAGCAAGCTGGGAATGGCATGCGAGATGCCATGGAGAATGCATTGTGGGCTGACTACATTGCAAGACAATGAACCATATGTAATATGGAGAAAATTCAGACGCCTGATGTAAAGTGTTTCCCAAATAAGTGTAAAACAATTTGGTTTGTACTGCAATTAGTTCTATTCAATCAAAAGGATTTGTGATCAAGTGGCATTTAACATTGCATCAGTACTAGCACATCTGCCCAGGAACACATACTCAAAAGTTAAGGACCCTTTCCTAGCCTAGCACCTTAGCACTACATGATAAATGATAATTTTGCTACCATTAACATTGTATTAGTAGTACTACAGCAACGTCGCATACCCTTTCCTAGCCTAGCACCTTAACAGAAAAGCCTTCTCCACGGGGCCTATTTCCATAGCCATTAAACTAGGTGTTCTGAATTCTTCTTTTTAACCAGGCCAGCCGTAATTCCTTAGTTGAAAACGAGAGAAACACTTCTCTGTTGTCCTTGTTATCGGTGAAGAGGTCAGCTGCTTTTAGCATATCTTCTGTTTGTAAATCCGGCAACCCTTCAAGTACAGCAATGCAATTTTGTATGCTATAGGGATCCTCCAATTTCCTCTCCTCAATGGCTGCAAACCGATCCAGCTCTTCTCTTTTGAAGCTCAGGTACCTCTCTTGGAAATCATCAAGATTAGAGTTTGTCTTCTGTCTTTTCCCCCGTTTAGCACTAGTAGGCTCAGGAGTAGAATGAGATGGTTGATGATTTATATGTAGGTCTTCTGGAAGTTCCATCGATACATGTGCGGCCTTGTTCGCATAATTATCCGTGCCATGGCAACCCCTTCCTTGAGCATAGCGCCCTGCATGGATTACGTCCAGAAGAATCTCGCTTAAGAACATAAGACACACAACATAACTAATTAATTCAATGGTTTAAAACTCACCGTCATATAGAGCAAATATATCATAATAGTATGGGAATGATTTGTCTTGCCATCGGAGGGCATCTTTGTTTTTACGTGCCCTTAATTCTTCCCAAACACTATCCGGAGCAACCACCATCATCGTATCACGATCCCAGCCAAAACCACTTTCGGATATCAAGTCTCTTATAGCTTTAAAATCTTTCTTCAGGTCCTGCTCCTTTTGTTTGACCTGAGTTACTGAGAGTGATAAACCAAATCGTGTATTGAATGCATCCACAATCCTTCTCCAAGCCTCTTTGCTCCATGCATTTCGTGTTCGATATGTCGGCACATCATGTTCTTTCAAGAGCCAAATAAGATATGACTTCATCTTGTGATTCCAGCTGGCTCTAGAACAATTCTTGGTGGTGCCTGATGATATGACAAGTGCAATTCTAGTATCAGTTATTGAAAAACATATTAAGTAGCCATGTACTGAATAATGCATACCAGTTAAGTCTATGGGTAGTGAAACAATGAGAGGCACACTCAATGTCATCATATATAGGACTATAACATTAATTAGGGACCCTCTTAACATATAGGGAGTGTTGACCTTCATTTGAGGGAGCCACGGCCCAAAACTCGCATGAAATCACAAAAATTCAAAAGAAACTATCCCTGAAACATCACAGCAAACCATCGACACAACATCCACACAACAAAAGTCCGCCTCGATCCAAGTAACAATCTAACTAGGTGATGGTAAGAACTAATCCATACACACATACAGTACACATCAATGACACCATATGTCTTCATCTTCCTGATTCTCTGGATCTCCTAACACTGTTTTCTACATAATTGCAAAGAATCCAGTGCATAGCTGGATGTGGATAGGCACACGCCACGCTATAGCTGAACCGAAGTTAAATACTAATATGCGTATACATCAGTGCTGTGCATGCACGGTCGCCTGTAGTGATGAAAAATACTCTCTGAAAATGTTGCGTGCACACTAACAACTAACTAGCCAGAACTCTGCTCCACAGCTGGGCACACGTACTAGTGTAGTGTAAAAAACGATCTTATGTTATGGGACAAAGGGGTAGTAGTCTGTCACACCGTACATGCAAAGAGAAATAGATCTGCCCTAGCAAGACAAATGTTCAACAGTAAATCAAGACTTCTGAACGAGAAACCAATATGTATCGAGAGTGGATTACCTGTTTCTTGCCAGATCTCCTGACCTTCTCCAAATTGCAGATCTTCCAGCCCTTGTGTCGATGGAAGGAGGGGAGGTGGAGCAGGAGGGGCGTAGGGAGGGGGCAGAGGCAGAGGAGGGGGAGGGGCTGGGATCCCCCCGTGGTCGTCCATGTCGATTTCGCGTCAAGCTCGTGGGAGACGGGGCGGGAGAGTGGAGGAGCGAGGGAAGGGGATTTTCACCGGGCGTTCCTTTGGTTCGAGCAGATGCTATTTTTCCCGTGAGAAGTGCAGGTTGAGGCTTCGTTCGGTTTGGAGGCGAAAAAAACGAAGGAATAAATAACTGCAAAGGAATAGAGTTGAGTGTCAAGAGCGAACCTGTGGAGCCTTTTGGCCTGTTCGATTTGCAGGAATAGGAATCCTTGGAGTGCGATGGAGGGATGGGCGTCCTTACTGCTGATTAGAGTTTTTTATTGTCTTTAGAAGTGATGACCTCCCATGCAGCCATTGTTTATTCGGCTGAACCGCACTAGAGCAAGAGCTAGCCTCGGGCCTCCGCGACAACATGAAGTTCCAGTGGATTTATCATTTCCTGTGAAAAGTACAGGTCCGCCTGGTATTCCGACGGAACAGGCCACCGGTATTCCTCCAAAACGAACGCACTGTGGGTAGAAATTCCTAAGGAAACTCATCCCCCAAAAAATCCTGCGAAATCCCTGTATACCGAACAGAGCCTGAGGGGACGCTTTCCTGTGGAACGGACGAAGCTGATTTCCTGCTGACCGAACGGGCATATCCGTGCGGTCTGCAGAATTCCTACGGAACAGTTCGGGTCCACCGAACCTCAAGTGTCTCCAATACGTCAATCTAAATGGACGAAAATTTTGTCCGTTTTTATTTATCAGGTCGGCATTTTAACCTTTATCTATCTTCATTCTATTTGAATAATAAAGCGTTCGCGGCCATACTTTTACTTTTTTTACGTAGATAAAAAAAACATTGCCCAAAGTTCACATAATTCAACCAAATGCAAATATCATAGTTTCATAAACCAAATAAAATCTCATATGTTACAAACCAAATAAAATTTAAATTGTTACAAATACATTTGAAAGAAAATATAGTTCATACATCTATTGTTTGCCAAAGTGAGCCCACATATGCTCAACCAAATCATCTTCTAGTTGAATGTGAGTTTTCCAATCACGCATTTGATGATGAAATTCGATGAACTGTGCAAATGTAGCCGTTCTTCCATGCTCGGGTACAACATTTTCCCCTTGAAATTGAAACCCCTGATCGAAGATTTTATCCTCGCGCTCATCCTCTATGATCATGGTGCGCATGATCACATAA